CTTCAACATATGCCCATAGTCCTTTTGCTTAAAATGTCGATTAATCCTCTGACAGTTACTTTGAAATGAAATAGAAGAGATAAAGAAGTAATCTCTCTGCATGGCCACTAATACCCTTTTGCTTTCTGTTGTAGCTGGGTACGAACTCCGTATAAATTGTGGTGGAGAAGCAGTAACTGTTAATGGGTCCAAGTTGATGGTGACACAGATTCAGTTGGACATTCATCATTTCGCCAGAGCTCAACAAATTGGGCTTTGTTAAATTTAATCCACACTTGTCTTGAAGAATTTAGAAAAATCTAGAAAAATAAGTAGAAACCTCAAGAAATATCCACCAATTTTGACAAAGTCAAACTTTAAGATATAATTGTTGTAGGCATTCTAGAAAAGTCAGAATAAAAATCTTGTAAATTAGTGACTATGAGAAGAAAGCCAAGTCCACCGACTTGGACAATGGCGGCAGCCTATATCTATAAATAGGTGTTGCCTCTTGTATAAGTGAGCTAAGAAAGAAGAGGCCAATAAGATAGAAAATAGGAAAAAGGTCAATAAGCATAGTAAATAATTTCTAGTTGCTAAGCCAAGTCCTCTATAAAGCCTTAGATGTTGAATAAATAAAATCACTTTGTTGTTCACCCTAAAAACCCAACAGGCTTTAAGCAGCACTGGTTACTTTCCTGATGATAACCGTGAAGACACCCTTATCCAAAATAATGAATCTATACTCTCCATGGCCAATCCACAACTGTACATGAATGCACGCCTTTCTCCCATCTCTCTAACTTATTATGGGTTTTGTCTGGGAAATGGAAACTACACTGTAAACCTCCATTTTGCAAAGACAGGGTTTACAAATGGCCTCTTCTTTCCATTGTCATATTGCAACCCTACCAAGTACATGGAAATAGTGATGCAGGCGCAGGCGCAGGGCATGATAAACAATCAAATGGCTGCAATTACTTTCAAGGAAGTTGTATAATTGATCCTTCAGATATACATCCACTCTACGATTCATCGAAGTGTCCATTCATCAATCGAGCATTCGATTGCCTGAAGAACGGTAGACCTTGTTGGTGAAAATGGACAAACACTTTCACTCACTCCCCTAATGATCTTGTTGTTGATGGATTTTGTGACACACACAAAGATGGATGAATCACACGCACACACTTGAGAAACCAACCAAGCACAAAGTGACACAAGTATTTTAGAGGTTCAACAATTGCCTACATCCTCTTGGTGATCCCCTTGAGAAATTCACTAATGAAAGAATAAGTTACAACTTTGGTTTACACAAAAACCCCCTTAGAACTGTATTCTCTCCCAAGCTCTCTTTTCTCTCTCACCCCTTGCTCAACACTTTGATGCACTTGTGAACACTCTCTCACACTTGATGTTTCCCTTCTTTGGTGTCTAGACTCTCAAGACCCAACTCAGCTCCTTCTTGAACTGATTGCCCTCTCTCTCTTCCTCTCTTGGTGAGTTAAACCACTCTTGGACACACTAGCTCCCAGCTACTTGTCCACTCCTTGAGAAGTAAAACCACACATGTTGTCTTGCTTCCTCTTCCCTTTAATACACAAGACTTTGGACTTCATAAGAGACTCCTTCTTTCCTCTCATGTTCTGCCCTTGGTTACCTAACATGGACCACAACTTGGGCAGACCAAAGGCTAGGCATTGATAGCTGCAACTTCAGCCACCCTATCTAGAGCTATAGGGTAAGTACTCTTTGAAACAAGTCAACAATCCTCATTCAATGGTGCTCCAGCTTTTCCAGCACCTTGCTAGACCTCCTAGAACCTGTCTGCCGCGCAAATCTCATGGCCTGGAGTTCCGGGCCGAGGGGGTATGCGTTGACACGCGGTTTCCTGCTTTTGGGAGCGGTGCGGTTGTGCGCGGGCGTGCCAGCACGGTCTACCGTGCGTCGAGATGTTGATAAGTGTAGGATGGATAAGTGGTGCGCCTATTTGAACTCGTCTTCTAATCAAACGATTGTAGCCGAGAGAGGAACTAGTCTCGGCTGTTAGGTTCATGGCCTGAACTACAAGGCCGTTGAGTGATGGTGTTGGTGGTGGGTTTTGGGCGGTGCTCCGGCGCGTCGCTCAGGGAGCGACGGTCGTATAATATATGGGGTGAGGGACGAACAACAGAGATGGTGCTCCTGCGCCTTGAAAATCAAGGGTCGTATGATATATTGATGAATGAATTTTCCTTACAGTCTAACACTACTCCTAGGAAAGCAAGTAAAGATATTGAAAGTGCATTACAGGGAAAAATAAGTTGTTCCGTGGGAGGCTTTGGTTTGGTGTTTGAACCCTTTGAATGTAGCTTGAGCCTTGTATTTATAGGAAGAGTTCCTGGAGGA